TATTCACACACATACATACATACACACACATACATATACATATATAAAGCTAATAATTACAGTTGGATAATAATTCAGTAAATCCTGATCGACAGTTCAGATTTAGGTTAAGATGCAAATGTTACTTGGTTCAACTTACAAAGCTTGCTACTGCAACAATCACAGGAAATGTTTCAGACATGCAACCAGTGTTTTCATTTAATGCAATACCGGTAACGCTTTACCTGTTCACTACCATACAGTGCCTCAGTATCATTACAGTTAATCTGATCTTTATACTAAACTACTTAGACAATTGTTTCATCATGTTGGAAACAATCAAGTTGCAGCTCTGTTTGCTCTGGGCACATAGGAGTAGATCCTACGGCAGCATATTGTGACTACTAGCTGTATTCATTTATTTTTATTTTGCTAATTTATTCACACATACACCCCACCACCACACACACACCAACACACTCCCCCACTGCTTGTACTTAATGATTGCATTATATTTTATAATGCTGTTTTCTGCATGTTTCACATACAATATTTTTTTAATGTCTTTTTACTGTACTGTTTCCTTGCGTGACAAGAAAGGCACCTTATAATAAAATGCATTATTATTGTTGTTATTATTATTATTATTATTATTATTATCAGGGGAGTGGTGGAGCAGAGGTTAGAGAAGGTGGGCCTGTGATCGGAAGATCGCCGGTTCAAGCCCCTGTACCGACAACATCAAAAATGTGGGTGGAGTAGGTGAAGCACCCACACCTGCCCCCACCCTCATTCGTCCCACTCTGGGCCCTTGAGCAAGGCCTTTAACCCCCACATCTGCCCCTCCGGGTGTCCTAGATAGCAGCTCTCTGCTCCACACAGAGGGCTGTGGTAGCTCGGTGATCTGTGGTTGTGTCAGGAAGGACATCCAGCGTAAAAAAAAAACAACTGCCAAGTCTTCGTGCGACTTAGTTCGCTGTGGCGACCCCTAACACAGGGAGCAGCCGAAAGAAGAAGAAGAGAAAAAAAAAGGTTTTGTTGTTATTATTATTATTTTTGGGGTTTTTTTGTTTGTTTTTTGTTACAACTATTACTACTGATCCACTTAAATGAACATTTAACCTGAAATCCACTGACTTCACAGCTGGTCTCATTTGATGCGTCTGTAGGAAAATGTTCACAACCACAAGTTCTTTTCTATTTACCGGTAGCTTCCAGTGTCCTAGTGTCAAATTTGCAAATGTTTAACTTATACATGAGCCTATGTCATAGCGTGTTTATTCGTGTGTATGCTTGTGAATATGCCACTGCACAAATTAAAGTTAAGATTTTATGTTAATTTTGCTTTAGCTTGAAGCTAACACAATTAAACTGTTGTTCTTGGATAGACTCTACAGGCTCTATAATTGATCTTTGACCCTGAAAACCACACGTGGTTTCAAAAGTAAGCCAACAACCTCTTTTTTTGGTCCCTTCAACACCATTTCGAGGAAGTCGAAACAAAAAGAGACTTCACCGTTTGACCCCAGACAGAACAAATGAAAGTTTATGAGCACAATGTGTGCCTTCTTTTTGCTCTGAAACAACAGAGGCCCTAATGACAGCAGAGTGTTACGTCACCACAAACCATGCCCTCAAAGAGCGACAGCGCAAAAAGGAGGACTTTAAAACAAAAAGAAAAATAATCATGGAATAATTTGCCTAGGTCATAAAGCATATAAAACATTATCACTTCACTAAAAATATATTTGCAAAAGAAATGTACTAAACCCTCTGACCTAACTGTGATTTACAATCTATTTGTCAAACCTGAAAGACAGAACTTTGAAAACCAGAAATTACAATCATGTAGGAACCCAAATGCACCTCCAAATCTGAGACCATAGTCCTCAATAGGAAAATGGTGGATTGCTCTCTTCAGGTCAAGGGTGAGGTTCTGCCTCAAGTGGAGGAGTTCAAGTATCTCGGGGTTTTGTTCACTAGTGAGGGAAGAATGGAGCGTGAGATTGACAGATGGATTGGTGTAGCGTCTGCAGTATTGCGGACTCTGTACCAGTCCTTTGTGGTTAAAAGGGAGCTGAGCTGTAAGATAAAGCTCTCCATTTACCGGTTAGTCTACGTTCCTACCCTCACCTACAGTCACGAGCTCTGGGTAGTAACAGAAAGAATGAGAATGGGGATATAGGTGGTTGAAATGAGTTTCCTCCGCAGGGTAGCTGGACTCTTCCTTAGAAATAAGGTGAGAAGTTCAGTTATTCAGGAAAGACTCAGAGTCGAACCACTGCTTCTCCACATTGAGAGGAGCCAATTGAGACGGTTTGGGCATCTGGGCGCCTCCCCAGGGAGGTGGTTCGAGCATGTCTGACTGGGAGGAGACCCAGGACATGCTGGAGACAGTATGCCTCTCGGTTGGCCTGGGAATGCCTTGGAGTCCTCCCAGAAGAGCTAGAAGAGGTGGATGTGGAAAGAGATGTCTGGGGCCTCCCTGCTCAAGCTGCTGCCCCCGTGACCCGACTTCGGAATAAGTGGAAGATAATGGATAGAAACCCAGTTAAATATGCAGAATACCTCTGCAACGTTTCTTTTTGATCTGCATTTCAAGTGATAATTTAACCAGCTAGATTATTTCTAACATAACACGATGAACTTTAATTGTCAACACATTAATAAATACATCAGAAATGTTCAGATTTTTTTTTTAAAGATCTCCTCTAATCAAAGTTGTTTTGAATCAATCTTTTAATTTGTGGTGTTAATGCTTGCTAAGACTACAATCAAATAGTGATCCCACTACGCTTACCACAACCTTTACAACGTGGCTGGATTGGGTCAAATTTGAACATTTTTCTGCATTGTGAAGGTAATCATGATGCTGATACATATTAGGTACTTGCTACATTGTTTCTTTCCTGCTATTTTCCACTCCCCTGAGATGCTCTTTCACCACCTTGTTTTATATGACCCTGGCACAACGCTCTCCCTTGGATATTTCCATGACTTTGTCACGATCACAGTCATAGTCTTTGCATGAGGCCAGTCCTGCTTCACATTTCTGGATGACTAAGCCATGCTGATGCCAATTGGCACAACACAAATATGCTGCCACTGCATTTCATCCAGAATTTCAATACGCATCCACAAAAATAAACCACCACAACCTTGCTATGGACGTTTTGAGTATACTCAAAACCATTGTAGACCTACTGTGTAATGAGGAGCTCACTACTTCTTAATACCTGCCTGATTACATCACCAAGGTTCTGCAAAGACCATTCACATGCTGATTGAATTTACTTATTTTCTAAGTAGTAGAGGTGACGTCATCCGATGCAAACAGGGCCTAAAGGACACCATCTCTATCTTCTATCTCTTATTCAGAGTTGAGTGGAAAAGGCAACAGATCCAGGAGAGAAACCCAGACACCCCCATCTTCCAGGTATTATGAGGAATGAAAGAAATTGATGGGTGTTTCCATTTTAGAATTTCACTGACAGTCTTGGATGTACCAATGTGTAAAAAATAAATGTTAATAGTGTGAATGCTTATGAAGCATTCACACTATTTAGATCCATTTTTCTTCTGTACGTTTTTCCAGAGCGATTCTCGTTCCACAGTTTTCAAGCTATTTTGACAAATCATATATCAAAAAGTTCAGCTCTTTCAGGACGGTCCTGCTATGATGTTTGGTTTTGGTGCAACTTTGGCTTTTTGAAATATTTAGCATTTTGTGTCATTTTTTTTTTCCTCATAGAAAATGAATTGAACTCATTTTACATCCTTCACATCTTTAGATTTGTTCACAAACTTTTACTGCTCCTTTCACATTTTGTTCTGCTTCAGTTTTTTTTTCAGTTTCCTTGAGCAAATGTAAACATTTTTTCAACTACTTTTAGCTAATTTCAGCTGTTTCTTTTCAGCTGTTTTGTGCTCCTTTCAGCTTTATTCTGCCAACAACAACATTTTTGTGTTTCATCAAACTTCTTTTCACTATTTTTAGCTTATTTCTTCAAGCTTCAGCTTCTACTTTATTTCGGCTACTATTGAGCCATTTTTATGCTAATTTTAAGCTTTTTCAGCTAATTCCAGATTTTTTTTGCACTCGATTAAACTTTTTCAGCCTAATTCAGCAAAACTGCGCTCTCTCCACTTCCTTCTTGTAAGTTCTGCTTCTTTCTGCGGTTTCAGCTACTTTTCAGCAGGTTTTTTTTGCCAACTTCAGCATTTTACAGATAATTTCCACGGTTTTGTGCTCATTTATGCTTCTTTCAACTTATTTGGGAAGACATGCTCTCTTTGCTTTCTTCTGGGAATTTAAGCTTATTCTACCCTTTCAGCTAGCTTGTTAGCATTTTTAGCTAATTTAATCTGTTTTCAGATAAATTAAAGCATTTAACGGTAATTTCTGCTACTTTCAATCTAATTAACTTCTTTATGCTAATTTCAGTTTGTTGTTATGGCCTTTTCAGTTAATTCCACTTTTTTTTTAAAGTTAATTTCAGCTCTTCCCACTTCCTTGTGGTAGTTCAAGCTTCTTTCTGCCGTTTCATCTATTTTTTTAATAGCAAATTTCAGCTTTTTTAGATAATTTTTTTTTACTTTCTGTGCTCATTTCTGATTATTTAAAACTAAAGCCCTATTCGCATGGGATTAGTTTTACCTAGGGACCACATGCTATTTGTAATAATTACGGAGATTGTCTGTGTTGTTAATCTTGTGCGAATCGGCCAGGTCAGTAATTTGTAAAGTAAAAATTCCACCGCAAATTACCTACTATATTTAGCTGAACTCAGAGGTCTTGTGATAATAATAATCCAATGCGAATAGGCATCTCTGTGATTTGGACAAAAATGGGCAGGATCTTATACATAATTAGGCATTTTTTTTTGTTTTTTGCTTTTGTTTTCTAAGGAAAATCAATTGGAAAAAAATTGAACAAGGCTATTTCAATTGAATGCGTTGCTCGCTTCTGCGTTTGTAGATGCTGCTACTTCCTGCACCGCAGATGACAGCAGGTGTGGAGACACGTGCAGCCGGTCAGCTCATCGATCCATCGATCAATCGATCCATCAATCCATCCATTATATTTACCCACTTCTTCCTTTTAGGGCAGTGGCGGCTGAAGTGCCCATGTCCAGCCAGCCATCACTGTGCGAGAGGCGGGGTACACCCTGGACAAGTCGCAAGTCCATTTCAACCGGCGGGTCGGTGGACACATGCGGCCAGTGACAGGTTGTCCATCTGAGTTAACGCAACTTGTTTTACCTCTTTCAACCAACCGGTCGCACCTGCTTCCTCCTCAACATGTAGATTGTACGATATAAAATTGTGTTATTCTTATTTAGTTTTATTTGGGCCGTAGGAGTCATAAAACGTTGCATGTTACGCATAATTACGCAACGCGTAATTATGCGTAACATGCACAGACGCGTGCTGTGTAGCTATGCGTTCTGAGTGCATGAGCACCCTGGAAAGCTTCCAATGGGGAAAGGAAGATGCTGAAAAAAGGCCATGAACCAAACAGATTCACAGCTAATCAATATGAACAGATTAATAATAACAAGTGAACTGATTATTAATCAAATGAACTGAATGGTAACAATAGTCATGAACTGATTAGTGACAATAGAACCGGAACAACAGTCACAACTTGTGACTGATAGCATCTCACACTGTACATGTATGCAGTCAGATGTGAGTTTAAACGAGGTTCCATGAAACAACAATATTAATTCTGTTAAAACACTAAGGACAGAATGTGTCATGGAACGAGCCGACACATCACGTAGCTAAAAGTGAATAAATGAGCAGGGTGTTGACCACGTGGCCACAGTGCAAATATCCTGCATTGTCATACCATTATGCTAAGCAGTCGAAGATGCGATACTGTAGATGAACATATACTGTGATATATTCATAAATTAAATGGATTCATTCATTTTTCTGGACTGAATAATATCGTGCATTGAATTTAATAAAATGTAACGTGAGGCGTTAATTTTCTTTGACCCATCAAATGAATGTGGTCATTTATTAACAGAATCAAAGTTTAACATCAAACATTTACATTAATTTGGCAAGATTGATTTCAACAACAACATAATTAATTAGCAAGTTTTACAAGGAGGAAACCATACGGCCATGGTTTCCCCATTTCAAACATTACAACAGACATTTCTGAAAATATCTGGAATGATTTGCTAGCAGGATAGAAGAGTTTAAAGATGGAAATGAAGTTTAGAGGGAGGGAGATGGTGTGTGAGGGAAAGTATTGAACAGAACGGCACCCTCCATTCGAACCCAGCTTTCCTCGGTACGCTTCGGTAGTAAACTCGACTCATTACCTCTCTGACGATGAATCAGCGGATACGGAGTTCCAGTTAACGCTACCGGTCCAGCGTCTCCGTAGGATGGCAGAGAACCGTCCGGAGTGGTGGCGGTACTTCATCAACAACAGTTCACCTCACGAGTGGACTCACATGAGTGGAGTCCTTCAGAAGTTCCACTCAGATGTGGAAGATTGCATAATTCCCACGAGACTCGGACGAACTCCGGATCATGTCTGGACTTCTGTTCTCCCCAGCACTTCTTGTGTTCGGTTTGCTCTCCGAACCGAACTCGACCGGGCTCGACTGCTCTCGACTGAACGAACTGCAACCCGACTCTGGTTTGAACTAGGAAGTGCCGACATTTAAAGAGTTCTATTTCCGGTTCATTTGGGAAGTCCCTGATTGGTCGAAATAGCTAATCAGGGGTGTGTTTTTGTGACGTAAGAGGTCACTAAAAGTCAGAAAAACAGAAAGAATGTTTTGGTACAGACTGAAGATGTTTTAGAGACAGACGAGAGAAATGTTTAGACGAGTTGGGGAAAAACAGGTGCCAGCTTCTCTGTTTATGTCTGAGAGGATATAAAAACATGACGGTTCGTTCCAACAACTTGTCTTCGACCTTTGACCGACATCACAACTTGCTCATTTCAGACAGAAGATCAGAAAATGCATGAATTACTCCGTAACACATTCCAATTTGATTTCTACTTTGAATGAGGATTAAAAATCACTAATACTGTTTCACAGTTGAATTAAAATGAGTAGTTCACTTAAACATTTAAAAATGGTTTGAACTAAACACACTTTGATTATCAAACATTTGTAAAATAGTAATGATAATAGAAAAAGAGTGTTCTTTCAATTGATCAGTGCAGGACACTTAGAAAGTCTCTGGATGAACTTAATCTTGTGTTTCTGGACTCAAATCAATGAAATACAGTTCTTGTCCCAGGAAGGCTCTCAAGGCCAGGACTTTGACCTGAGGCTTAGTTCACTAAAATTCCCATGGTCGAGTGCGCCCTGAGGTTATCAGGAGGCT